GGCCAGCTATAGCAGCCAAACTCGGGGGTGAGTACACTTGACCAGCTGGAAACCCTCCCTCAGCGCATGTCGATGGGCCACCCGGGTTGTGAGGCCAAACTGACGCTGCGAAGGTTGCTGCAGCATGGACGGCTGGATTCTGTAAAAGGGTTGACAGAATAAGGTTAGCAAATGGCCGATAATTGTCTGGAGCATTGGGTGTTGGAGCATCAGCCGGATGAAATGCTGGCGACGCACGGGGAGTAGATCTTGGGGAGTCATTTTCATGTTCAGATCTTGTAGCAGATGCAGAAGGATCAACGAACATGTTCGGGTAGCCATGAATTTCGTCAGGCACCGTGGGAAAAGGTGACATAGAACATGTTAATGAGCTCCTATCAAGGCCATGCGTATGGACGTGTCTTGGATATGTCTGAGGTCCTTGATCATCTATATGGGATATGCCATGGACATTGTTTTTGACTGACCCTTGTACAGATTTGGTATGCGCATCACAGTAATTCTCTGAGTTTGAAGCCTTTATCTTCCCATTATCCTGACTTGCCTGTGCCCCACATGTAGTTTTAATGAAATATAGACTCTCTAAAGCTTCAAAAGAAATATAAGATTGATTTACCTCTTTTCGTAGAGGCAAGAACTCCCTAAATGTGCATCCATTCACGAGTGCTGTGGTCTCCACAGAACTTTTATTCATGGAGTATGCAGAGCGGGAATGGGTGAAACATTCTGAACAGCCATCTTCCCGATTCTCTTCCGGGTTTGAAGGCTGCCTTTCTTCATTAGGCATCTAAGAAAAAAGCAAGTAAAAATTATCAATAAGACAGGGAGCACAATGACAGATATTAAATTTATTACAAAGTTTTTATAAGATTCATCATGTATAATCTATAATTTTCAAGAAAGGGAATCACCTCAGAAAGCGACCCATTTTCTGATACTAGGGCCTCTATACAGTTCAAAGCAGAAGTTGATGTTGGTAGCTTTTCATCCTTTGCAGCCGATTGGGACGGATTTCCATTTCCTGTCTTTCTAGGATAAGGATTGCTCGGTTTCTTTTTGGGCCGTGGAGGAGGAATATCTACGTCCAGAGCTTGGCCTAGCGGAAAACCTTTAGCCTGGGCCTCTTTCTCCACCTGCAGGTGAGCATCTTGTTACTTTCTAGAAGAGGTCAAAGAGTGAAAATACACTACTGTTTTGAATTGATAGCGTTGAATGCTGTTGCTTGGGCAGAAAAAGTGAGAAGCAGATCTGAACTAGAAGGCGAAAATTGAAATGGTTACCTTTATGGCCCATCTCAAGGAACAATAAACATATTCAGAAGGTTCACCTGGAAAACAGGGTTTCCTATGACCTAGCCCGCTTCTGCCGTTACCTCAGAATGGATAGAAGACTTCCAGGAAGGCAGAAGCCACTGTTCTGTGACTCTCAAGAGTAGGTAAGGCAGAAGCCACTTTTCTCTGACTCTCAAGAGTAGGTAAACACTCTTCTGAAGATGCTATAGAGTTCTCGTGCATGGCTTAATAACATATAGGCATAAACCGAACAGAGTTGTCAGACCATTGACCTATTGGCTAGATTTCTTTCTCTAATATCTACTTCACGGCCATTCATCTTCAGTTCAAATCCAAACAAATGATCTATATCAACTACAAAACGTATACACAAAGTGACTGTCTTACATAATGCATAGGTTCTCTAAATGTTTTAAAATTTTACTCGTGGACGTCACAATCTATCATATACACTCTCTACCTCCCTCCCCAAGCGAAATCCAAACAGTGGATGTACTCAATAAAAAGGTCATAATGCATTTCTCATAACAAATAAATCAAAGGTTTCACGGTTTATAGTAGTTCAATGGTCAGCATGAAACAAAGATCTGGTGAAGGATGGAGGTTAGTCAATTAGTATCAACACATTTCCCATCCAAAAAGCGTTCTTTCAAATTTGAAAACGATTAACTAAACTAAAGAGTACCATAGTTACCTTAGAGAAAAATTTCTGAGCATGACTTCTTATCTGCACAGCTGTCTTCGATCCTACATGCTCTGTCCAAACAAAAGCATATTAGTATGACGAACTCACACACAAGTACAACAAAATGATATCCCAAAAACATAACCAGGAAGTAGTTGTCTACCTTCTATCTTTTTCCATGCTCTCCCATACAGCTTCAAGGCTTCTAAGAACCTATTATGTTCCTCTTCAGTCCACCGTTCACGTTCCTTGGTTATCGTATATGGCTTTCTCGTCTATGGATTTAATAGAAACTCACACAAATTGGAAAATTCCACCTTCTTTTACCTCAACCCCACAAACAATTGAACAGAACCAAGCAACAGCAGAGCAAAAGCACAAATATTTTTCCTTAACATGTAATGTACCTTAATCACCAACTCTTCTCCAGAAGAATTTGTCTCCATTTACTGCCACTTCAAATCCTTACCAAAGAGCCACTGATAAAACACAGGTCGCCTTTCATATCTACCAATGGTAAATACTATAAACACCAAAGCCGTCGTTCTCCGTGTCACCCTTGAAGTTACTTGATGAATAAATATGCTTCTGCAGAAAGAAAAAACCGGGAAATCGGTAGACCTTCTCTGCTCTGTGTTAGAAAAACTATAATCATCCCATTTGAAATTTACAACCACAAAGATAGTTTGAAAATATTTACGAGAAATCTATTGGATCCACCGTTACACTGATAGGCAGAGAGGCTGTCTCCAGGCTGCAATTCGAAAGAGTTCTCTCTTTCCACAGTTCTCACCCTAGCGAATCTCCCGATGATGCCCTAACCTTTACAAGTAAAACACAAAAGAAGGGTCACATGAACAGAAAATACTTGTCATTACGAAGTAAATTTGTTACTTTCCAGCTATATCTGTTTGGCTGATGATTCTCCTTTTGATTCAGACGAATTCAATGGCAAAAAAAATTTTAAAAAAAAAATCAGCTGATGTAGCTGACTACAGTTGACAGCAGAAATCGGGATTCAACGATTCTTTCTTTTTCCTTGATTTCTCGGCAACGAAACGGTCGGAAATCGTAGGGGGCGAACAAATCGCTAGAAACATGGAATGCATACCTTCGAGAACTGCCATGGAAGACGCAAACAGTTGAAAGATCGATCGGCATTCAAGTACGGAAGCGAACTCGCCTGGGCTCGCCGATGAATGTAAGTCAGAATCTGACCCTTTCTAAACAAAACTCAGATATCCGAAGAAGCTAAGGACAAAGAAGAAGAAGAGTGTTATCGTCGTGGCAATGAAAGGTAAAAGAAGCTACGGAGGCGGAGAAATCTCAGCCACTATAATTCATCCCCGATTCATTTTTATTTTATTTTTCATTTCTTCGGAAAAATCAAAGGAAAAAATCGGGAGATCTTATTTGAGGCTACAAAAAAAACTTGGAAACGCGACGATGCCAAGCGGCAGGATCCGATTGGTTGATGATCTGCACTTTTCATGAGATTCCATCTTTGTCCATCACCTTCTCTCGTTGATCGTGAAATCTCAGCCACAAGTTTCGATTACTTTTGACTCTTTGAGGGTCAACAACGAGCGTGATACGGTGGGTCCCATAAATTTCGTGGCATCTTGCTTTGACTTGCGTCGTCGGTCATCTTCTCAAGTGCCACGTGGCGGTGGCGCTTGATTGGGCCTTTCTTCTTGTGTTTTGAGTTGGGCCTCGAGCAATAATATTATCCAACTCGCTTTCTGATTCTTATCGCATAGGACCACACACTTTATGATTCCTCTATAAAAAAGCAACGAGAACGGTCTCATTTTGCACGGAAAAAAAAGGCATTGGACGAAAACCATAGGACAAAAACAAATCTCGCCACCAAAAAAACATGCCCCTTTCCCTAAAAGAGACACAAACCAAACCTATGCGCCACGAAGAAGAAGACGAGGAAACGTTCGCAAACGCCATGCAAATGGCACTTGGCTCGGTGTTTCCGATGACCATGAAAGCCGCGGCGGAGCTCGGCCTCTTCGAGATCTTAGCCACAGCGGCTCCCGGCGGAGATGCTGAGCTGTCGGCGGCTGAGATAGCCGACCAGCTGAGTAACTGCACAAACCCTGAAGCCCCAAAGATGGTGGAGAGGATCCTACGGCTCCTCGTCAGCCACGGCGTGATTCGTTGCAGGGTCTCCGACAAAGGGGATAAGTTGTACGGTCTAACCCCCGTGGCCAAGTTCTTTGCGCCCAATGAAGAGGGTTTCTCGCTCTCTCCACTCATGCTCCTCGCTCAAGATATCGTCTTTCTTCAGAACTGGTAACTATTCCGTGTATTGTTTGAATAATTAGATACGGGCTTTATTATGTCAATTTCCTCTACAAATGAAAGGTTGTGATAATGTTTTCTGCTGGAACGAAATCCAAAATTTCCTGTATTTTCACATGAAGAAATATCACGTGACAGTTCTTGGGAAATAAAAAGACTGACGTCACATCTCTATCTATATATAAATAACATTGTTTGTTCGACTGATGCACGTGACAGCTCTTGGGAAATAAAAAGGTTGACGTCACATCTATATATATATAACGTGGTATATTCTTTGTTTGACTGATGTAAGCCAGACTCGACAACCACGTAAGATTCGGATTAAGTACGCACCGCGATATAAAGTTTCATTTTATATAGCAAACTTTTAATGAGATTTGGCACAATGCTCGATTTTATTTATTTATTTATTTATTTATTTTGGGAGGCGTCATCTGCAAGAAGCGGTGTTGAAAGGAGGAATAGCATTCAACATGAGCCATGGGATGTACGTATTTCAGTACCCATCCACGGACCAAAAGTTCAACGAGCTCTTCAACACGGCCATGTTCCACCACACTTCCATCGTTCTCAACAAGGTTCTTGAGACCTACAAGGGTTTTGACCAAGTCAACTCCCTCGTCGATGTCGGCGGCGGTGTCGGAATCACCCTTGACATGATAGTCAACAAGTACCCTCGCATGCATGGCATCAACTTTGACCTTCCTCAAGTCATACAACATGCCCCTGCGTATCCCGGTATTCCAATATATTGCGTGCAGATGTCGTATCCGTGGTTATGAATGGATTTGGCCGAGTTTGAAGTTATGATTTGAGATTTGAAACTATTGTTATGAAAAATACTTTTTATCCGGATATTTACGACAGGAAATGTACTCGATATTCGCCTTTTGTTTTTATTCTCTTGCCAAATTTTCATAGGAGTGGAACATGTTGCCGGAGACATGTTCGAGAGCGTTCCAAAAGGAGACGCCATCTTCTTGAAGGTACGTTTCTACGCATTTCAAATGTCTCTGTGTGCGCGCATTGCCATGTATCGAAATTCCAATATATGCAAAAAAAATACGATCTTATATATAATGTGTGAAAATAATCAAAATATTTCAGTGGATAATTCACAACTGGGACGACGAACACTGCGTGAAGCTGCTGAAGAACTGCCACCAGGCAACACCGGAGACAGGGAAAGTGATAGTGATGGAAGTGGTGGTTCCTGACGTTCCGGAGACAAGCTTGGCGGCTCAGGACATATCTCACGTTGACCTCCAAATGATGACTCAATTTCCCGGGGGCAAAGAACGAACTCGGCAAGAGTTGGAAACTTTGGCTGCTGTCTCTGGATTCGGCGGCGTTAGATTCGTCTCTTCTACTCGTAGCTTCTGGATTATGGAGTTCTTCAAGTAGACCCAGTATTTATGTTATTATGTGTTCTTTCTTATATTTCAGTTTCATATGCTCCGGTCAATGGCGATTTGTGGTTTGCAGCGATGATGGCAATAAAATCACACTTAATAAATTCCATTTACTCATAAAAAATTGTATTCTAAAAAACCGGCAATTTATAATAATAAATAAGATCCGTATTTTAGTGCAAGATTCGTGAGTTGGGCTTTTTTTTTCGCTGCATTTTAAGTCGGGCCTTGAGTAATAAATAATATGGGCCCACTCATTTTCTGATTCTTATGGAATACCGTAGTACTTCATAATTTTTTTTTATTTTTTATTTTTTTTTGGTGAGAACCATACTTCATAATTTGCTTGACGATGCTACTTCCCTCTATAAAAACTCAACAAGACGCCTTCATTCTTGACGCACCATACAACATAAGAGACACCGCATTGGCGACGAAATCGTGTAACCAAAAAGAAAAAAGATTGCTCCATAAGAAATCATGGCCCCTACCCAACACGAAACAGAAACCAAACCTAAAACCCATGAAGAAGAAGAAGGCGAGGAAACGTGCTTGTCTGGCGGTTGCCCGTCTAGGTGGAGGCTCGGAAGATGGTTTGGCTAGCCACGAGAGGACAATGTGCTTGTCTGGCTCATCTAAGCCAACGTAGTGGATGGCTGAACCGGGGTAGGACCTTTCCACAACGGTCTTGACCGTTGTGAGTTCGGTGGGCGACAATGGGTCTAGAGGGTGGCGGCTCGGCTTCTTAAGACCAGTAGTTGATGTGAAAGGGAAGAAAGAGAGGAGACGGAAGAAGTAGAAGAAGGAAAGTGGTCCTAACGAGGAAGCCATGGTGTTTGTGTTTGATGGTTTGGTTCTAATTAACTCACTATCTTATATCATGCGCTTATATAGACGCTTGAGGAATATGGGCTCACCCAAAACTGTATTTACACTAATCCTAATATCATTTTATCAGAACGACTGTCTTTGGCTCAATTTAATTTCGGTTATTGCTTCTGGTTTGTTGTTTCGGTTTAGTGACATTTACTCCGGTTTAGCTAGTTTTACATCTCAGTTTGTATAAATACTATCTTTTCCATGTCTATAGTGATTTGTGGAATGAGTTACTTTGCATATTCTTCAGTCTTGACATTGTGAGCCTCACAAAGAAGAGACTTGATTCGTCTGATAAAAAACCGCACGTGTTTTAACACAGAAAATCATCAGGACATCCAACATAGAACGGACAACTCTTTTTGTGAAAAAGAGTCTGTGGATTTACAACATCGGCGTCGATGGATTACACATATCTAAGGATCGAAGGTGGGAGAGCTCGGAAAACGTTTGGTTACGCGTCTCTTGGAATATAAGCACAAGGACGAAGGGGGAAGGTCGGACAGGACGGTGTTAGAAACTGAGCCACACACATAAAACAGGGAGGGTGTGTTCATAGGTTCTTCAGCCGCTCCCTATGATTTCTTTGTAAGTGTCCTTTATCTTCTGCAAGAAAGCTTCCCTGAAATCCAATACAAAGAGCAAGAATCCAAATTTCAACTCGGGAATCAAACTTAGCCGAGCAGGTTTCATCCGAAGACTTCTGAACGATGACTCACCTGTCTGGTTTGTAGACGAGGTTCTGGTAAGTGAACCACTGCCCAATAAAGAAAGAACAGTTCAGTCCATCACTTGCGAGATCTCAAACAACAACAAACCTATTCAGAATCAGAAGAAAATCCATGTTCCATCTAATTGCCACATGGTAAGGCTTTCACCAAGTCCAGATCCTACGCCAGACAGAAAGCTAACACAATTGTCTGAAAGCACCATACTTTCACTAACTAAACACTAGAAAACACCAAAGAATCCTCATTTATAGATGCAGATTCTATAAGAGGTGTAAAAAAAAAACTTACCCCAGTGTAACCAATGCCAACTAGTTCAAGGACTCCAGGAACCAATGGAAGCCTGTCGATTGCCTGTTACAACGATCACTTTCGAACTTTGAGCTCAATCGGTAATATTCGGGCATAAAGTAAAAAGGTGTCGAAGAAACATAAGGTGATAGATAGCTCACCGAGATCATGCCGGAGGATCCCCAGATCGCCACTACTCCGGCAAATGCAAGAGAACCGACTGCGTACTTGTCCTCCACTTTGTTCCACTTCAATGGCAAAACATCGAATGACCCAGAAACCAAAACACAAACTCAGTGAAATCTGTTTATCGCGGAGAGAGAGAGAGAGAAGGAAAAGCTGGGTTTTTTTTACAGCATCCTGAACGGTCTTGACGATATCCGGCAGCTCCGTCGTCGCAACTTCGGCGGGAGCCTCACCGGTCGCCCTCGCAACGACGTTCCTAACCATCTTCCGACCTGGAAACCAACGAACCCATCTCATAAACTTCGCATTTCAACCCTAAAAATCAGATTTGTTAGAAGTTTCGGGGACAGACAGTAAGCAGAGGCTTTTGCGGTGCGGGTCTGGGACTGGACCGGCGGCGGAGGAAGCGTCGGAAGAGTGACACACGACGGCGAAACGGCGGCGGATTGACGAGGCGGAGCCCTGGAATCGATGATGGTCGAAGAGGAAGAGATCGAAAGGGCCGTGGATGAAGAGGAGGCCATGGTCGATGCTCGAGCTTAAGGCCTCTGAATCACAGAAATAAAGAAACTAATCAGATTATGTTTCTCGGAGCTAAAAGAATAAGATAATAAAAAAAATTAAGAAAAGGAAAAGGCTTTAATGGTGGTTTTGAGTGTGGAAGGAAGATAGTTTCTTCTCGTGGTGTGGTCGGAGACGAGACGACCACTCGTTTGGGTTTCCGATCAGGATAGTGCTGACGTGGCGGACACAGAGGCAATCTGGGGTTTCTATTGGATAGAGCGAATGTCATAGACATTGGATATTTGTCACTTCTAAGATTTACTTGGCCAATCATTGAACAGCCACAACCATTTTTGAATCGATAAGATGTAATCAAATTTGTCCTTTAAGTAGGATTTTTCTCGTAATAAAACTGCATTTACTTAATCCAATCAGATTCAACCCCCAACATATTGGAACTCAGAGTCTTGGAACATGGATTGGGTTATGGTGTCGGTGGGCTTTCTTGATTTGATCCACAGAGTTCTTGGTAGATCCTTTAGGCCCACACCCATAAGTGGATAGGATCCGTAGTAAGAAGCATTCGGCTTACAAATTACATGTCAAAACACAGAATAAGATTTTAACAGAAGCGCTGACAGGAGGGAGTAGAAATCGATCAAGCTTATGTTTTTATTGCATGAGAGCGCTACAGAAACCAAACTCCGCTTTTGTTTAGCGCTCAATTTGTATTGTAACATGACTGATGTTGTACTCTGTCCGGATGTAGTCGATCACTTTGTTCAGAACCATGTCGGCATCTGCTTCTGGACTGATTTTGACGTGGCAGGCCAACAGAACTTTGCCTACTGTGATAGCCCAGATGTGTAGCTCATGAACGGCTACCACTTCTTCCATTTCAAGCAAACCCCTTTCGAGCTTCGTAGCGTCGACCTCTCTGGGTGTGCTCTCCATCAGAACCTCGAGTATGCTTCGGAGCATGTTGATAGTTGTTCCCAAGACGATAACCGAAAAGACTAGAGTGCAGATCAAGTCAACTATTCTCCATTCCGGATTATACCAGATGATTGCCCCTCCGATCATTACCCCAACGCTCTGGATGGAATCCCCCAGGACATGAAGATAAGCCCCTTGGATATTGATGTTCCTCTTCTTCTTATCCTTCTCTTCAAGCCCATGTTTCGACTTACCCAACAATGGCTCGGTATGATCCCCATGACCATCGTGATCGTGTTCACCTTCTTTGCCATGCTCTTCATGATCATGATGATGATGGTGGTGGGTGCTAACCATCACTCCATGCCCGTGGTCGCTACTGTGATTGTGATGTTCATGGCCATGGCTATGGTCATGTCCAAGCAGAACAGCCATTATGATGTTTACCACCAGACCAAAAGCAGCAACCAGAAACATAAGAAAGCCATCAACAGGTTGTGTCTCGTTAACGAGTCTAACAATGGCTTCATAAACCAGAATGCCAGTGAGCAGCCATATGAGCTGTATCGAAACGAGTGCACCCAAAATCTCGATCCTGAAGAACCCGTAACTCTGACGTGGAGTGGCTTCCCAGCCAGCAGCCCAAAGAGAGAACAAGGAGATTGCAAAGGAAGCAACATCAGAAAGCAAATGAGCTGCATCGGTTAAAATTGCCAAACTATTGGCTTTAATGCCACCAGCCACTTCAAGGCTCATGAATATGAGACATAATACCACCGCTATACAGAGCTTGCGCATGGAAGCGGTTCTTTCCTCGGCATCTCTGGAAGAAGCGCTACTGTCTGAAAACCCACATGGTGCTTCACCACATATTATTGTGTTTCCTCTGTATGTCCTCTCTCCGCCATGATTTTCGATGCTAACCTCAATGACGTGACCTTGTCTGGGACTTCGTGGATCCATCTGGCGAATCAGGAGAGAAATGAAGCGTGGAACTCGAATCAACAAACCTATCTATGAAGTTCCTGTTCTTGTCTGACTATTTGGTACTAATTAAACAAGATCCTCTGACTACAAGTAATACCCTGAAGCTCATAAGATTCTAGAAACGAAAAGGAAGAGAATTTATGAACGGATGATCATCTACAACATTCAAGGTGAGAACTCAAGCAATTACCTTGTATTGCGCAGAAAACCCAATTCGATCAAAAACCCAGAATGGCTTTCCGTATTTGTGGGTAATGTTCCAACAGAGGGAAGCTATGTATTTATGAACGCTCAATCTGTGGATCGTGACATGAATACCACACAAAGGGTCAGTTTTCAAGCGGCAAGGGAAGAGCCATTAAAAAAAGAAGAACAAGAACACAACAAATAATTTCACGCCATTAGTCAACCAAGACATAAGCTTTCATGCCTTCTCGAGGCGAGATGCACAGACAAACACATATTGTATGACGGAAATAAGTAAACATCGATTTTCAAAAAGTCAACCCAATAAACAACCAGGAAATCCAGAATTACTCAGCGGACCGACTCTCGATATTACGGACGAAAAAGAGTGGGAAACGTAGAGAAAGATTCAAGGAGAGAGAGACTCTTATGAAAATCAACCTGAAGAGGATTCAATTTCCTCGCTTTGACTTCATCGATGCGGAGCCATTGATTAGGTCTTTTCGTTCTTCGCTCTCCGAGAAAGCACGGAACTTGCAATTTTGCCCCACGTCGGATTCTGACAGGCCCACCCACTTTCTCGGATCTCTCTCTCTCTCTCCCGATGGTTTTTTTTTGGGTGAATCTGTTTGTTCATGGGATTGGGGAAGAGAACAGAAGAGTGACGTGGATTTTTCTCAATGAATCAAATAATATGAAAAGAACCGTTCCGAATATCAACGGACATCATTTTCATGTATTGGTCACACCAGTAGCGGCGGTTGCAAAACACTTTGGCAGTTGGATTTCTGATTGGAGAAGAATTTTCATACGGACTGCCCCGATCCTCTATGAATTTTCGGATTATAAAAAAAATGTATTGATCAAAGGTCGTGTGATGAATTTTCGAATTATAAAAAAAATGTATTGGTCACACCAATGTTATGGCACTTTGAAAGTAACATACCCATTTAAAACAGTTATTGGGCCTTTGGGTCGAACGTATGCAGAGAACGTGGGCTCTTGTACTGTTGGAACTTAACATTATTTATTGACAATTCAACAATATTATAAATTATAAATTCAAAAATATATATATATATATATTGAATTTTGAGTTAAATTGTATTAGTTCATATGAACTCAACTCTATCAAATAATTTCAAATATAATAACATTTGTGATGATAACCTAAAATAGAAACATTGGATCAAAGAAGTCACCTTTATGAAAGATCTAATAATAAACAAAACGATCCAAAATACACCGATAGCAAACACAAAGAATTACAAAGTTAAAAGGAAAATATATCTGAAAAGACTTAGACTTAACCGAACCGAGCCTTTCTTGAATCGGTCCAAAGGTTCAAAAGAAACATAAAAAAACGGATCTTCTGAACCTGAAAACCCCTCAAATTCAGAGTTGTGCAAATAGATGCTTTGTGCATCAAAAAAAAATTGGAAACCAGTTTTCGTTGAAGGAGATAGAATCCAATGGCCACCCATGCCTCGGATTCTTACCTAATGCCATGAATGTCTGAAAAAAAAAAGAATGTGATGGTTCCCTGGTCCTAAGCTATAGCTATATATTTGATGACGTAATATTGCGAAAAAGAAAAAAAAAATGGACTGTGCCTCCTACGCGAATGCGCGTGATTGATATGATGATGAGAGAGAGACTGAGCTCTGGATAGTTAGTGTACGAGATGAGTTTGTGTTTGGTTGATGAGCTTTGCCTGGTTTCTTCTCTCGTTTGAGTTGAGCTCCCTCCCTCTCTCTCTCTCTCCTGCTACCCTTGTTTCCAATGTGATTGATCTCGTTAGTACTGGAAAATAAGTAGCCGGAAATTTCCCCTACCCCAAGAAAAGATGGATCAGGTTGTTGGATTCTCTCCCGCAGGAGCTGTTCCATCTTTCACTTGAGCTGCAGTTTCTGCCGTTGTTGTTGTTGCTGTTCCCGCTGCTGTTGAGGTTGCTGTCGGGGCTGTTGCTGTTGCTGTAATTGGTGCTGCTGCTACTAATGGATCAAATTCCATATATATACATCAAGAACCATGAAATGACAAGCTTCAACGGTGAGGATAAGAGAGAACGTGAAAAGCAAGAGAATGAAACCTGAGGGAGAGGATGATGATGTTGAAAGAGCAAAGGAGGTCGGGAGGGAGAGGATGGGGGGCTGAGGCAAGTAAGGGTAATGCATAACAGAAGGAGCGTACTGGAGGCCGAAACCATGATGATGGACTGGAGGAGTCTGGCTGCTGCTCTGCGTGTAGAACGGGTGGTAGAAACTATGGAACATCCCGCCCGATGGCCCTACAAACGGGGAAACTTGATGTCCTCCGTACATATGGTTGTAGTAATTCTGCAAGACAAGTGGCCAACGCAGTTAATCAAAGGGTTTAGCCATGCCAGAAGAACGGATACATGATTGGGGTAAAACTGACCATAGGGTACATGCCCTCTTGAGAATACCCGGCAAACCTTCAAACACACAAGAAATGAAAACTCAAAACGCTAGATTTGATTGCAACCCGGAAGGGGGAAAAGCATGACCCGCAAGACAAGATTCTTACCCGTAACCAGGGTAAGAAAATGCGAATCGACCACCTGCAGTTTGATGAACAAAAGCAGATGATGATGATGATGATGATGAAGCAGAAGAAGGAGAGCCGCGGAAAGAAGGGGAAGGAGCCACTAGTCCTGCTCCTCCTCCTACTGGTCTGAATCTCCCTGCTCCTGCATTTCCCAGTTCTCTAATTATTAAGAATCTTCAAAACAATCGTAGATCATGCTTCACATTCCAGATACGCTCATGGGGTTTAAGCTAATGTGATCAATGTTAATCCTACAAGTTTAATTCTCTTGCCCTCTTCCAGATCTTACACCTTGACGATACCACTAATGAGAGATGTTACCAATAGAGAGGATTGAAAAAAATAAAGAATAAAAACCATGTCTTGGAATTTGGGGACGAGTTTTCTGGGCACCGAGGCAAGCAAGATTACAGTTCGCTCTTCTTCCGTCGATCACCGGAGATATGTTTTGGCAAGCTCTCATCGCCGCCTCCGGTTCCTTAAACGTCACCTGAAAATTTATACCCAGAAACTCAACATGCTCCTTTTTTTTGTTGCATTTTGTCTCGAGAGAAAAGAAAAACGAAGACGTACAAATCCGTATCCTTTAGATTTGCCGGTGTTCTTGTCCGAAATAACGACGGCTTCGACAATATCGCCAAACTGCTCGAAATAACGCTTCATCGTATCTCTCTGCGTCTCCCACGCTAATCCACCAACGAAGATCTTCGTCAACGTCGTATCGTTATGCGACGCCGTATTGGCCCCACCGCCTTCCATCTGCAATTGTCTCTGTTGAGCCATGAAAGAAATGTTCCAAACAGAAAACCCAGAGATACCCAGAAGCCAAAAATCTCATACCAGCCTCTAATCACATCAAAGGAACCATCTTTCTTAACCAATTCCTAAAAACTTCATCTTTTGCCTCCCCCAATACGAAAAATACTAGGTTTTCGCAAAATTGAGGGGGAAAAAACAAAACCTTTATATGTATTGCAAAATCAAGGGAAGAGGAAGGACGATTACACGGAGGAAGAGAGTTTTCTCTTGAAGGTAATTCGAAATGCAAGCGAGAAGACAAGAAAGCTGCTAGTGGGAACCCACGACAATGGCTGGAGAGAGAGAGAGAGAGAGAGAGCCAATGAAATATGAGAAAAGCCAGTCTTGAATTTACCTTTTTCGCTGTGACATATACATGTACGTAAATTATGTGTATATATATTCGTTCACAATATATACAGAGATCGCGTATATATGCATGTATATGTCTGTGTTGGGTCCACCGCATATTATCTGCTTCGCTGTCTTCAACCTCCTCTTGAAATCTGCATTTTTTCAGTAAATGTTTTTTAAAAAACTTCCAACTTTGACTGTTCTGTTCCCAAAATTTTTTAAAAAAAAAGGATTAATCTTTTCTTGCCCGATCGATCGTCTCCAGAATCTTATTACGATGTTTTTTGTTGGATTGTGTTCGTTTTCTTTTTATAATTAAAAAACATATGAAGACGTGCTCTTGCCGGCGCAGACATCTATCTGTATAACCGAAAGAGGGCTATATGTACGTATAAGTATACATGGGTATATCCGTATATAGAATTGGTGTGTGTATGTATATATATATATAATCCTTAGATATGCGTGATATTGTTTCGTGGGGCCTCTTTTTTTATGGCACAACCTTCTAAATTCCCTCTTTTTTCTTTATTTTTTTAAATTCTTTTTTTCCGTTTTTGGGTGCTTTGTTTGTACCATATTTTAAAAATATTATATATTTAACGATAATTATAGTAGGACATCCCTTGTTTAATTGGCCAGGTTGTCCTCCTGACTTAATTCCATAATTGCCCTTCTCTAACATTTCTGTAAGAGCCAATCGACTTTAAATTTTGGTTCAATGGCTCATGGTTATCGTTATTATTAATTATATTAGTGACTATTTTGTAAATATAAATCAAATATTGATTTTCAGATCACATTTTATTTGGCATGTTTATAAATTACCAATTTTCGGATCAAATCCTATATATCTGCATATATCATAACCATATTCGTAACAATATTTAATTTCTTCTTGTAGGATTCGATGGGTAAATGAATCCTTATATATATATATATATCAAAGTTTTGAAAATGCCACTGTGGTTACATATGTGTGTGTGTGGCATTTACTTCATCATATAAATGCAAATTCGGGCAAGTTGACGACCATGTAAGACAATTTACCTTAATTAATCCACAACGGTAAACTTTATTTTACTTAATTAGATCATATACAGTAAAAGCATGATATATTCTTTCTACTTAAAAATGAGCGATGTGCATGTGTCTTGCCAATCATTAGTCACAATGGCTTTCGATTTTTTATTTTATTTTTTTTTTGGGTGCAAAGATGGTTTTTGGAACAAAACAAGGGGCACCCCTTTAAAACTTGGATCCATAAGATAATAAAATATAGATAAATATAAGTCTTTATGTATTTTTATATTCTCCCTATATATAAGTATTATTTATCATTTTGCTTATCTAACAGGATAAGTAATTAATATCTGAACCTGAATCATGGCTGTCGACTACAGCACAACCCAACGGCTTTTGGACAGTCGCGGAGTTTGGTCAAACCTAGATCTACTTTTTATCTTTAAAAATATAATTAGTTACTGTAGCCTCTTATCGCAAAGTTTTTCGAATATCAAAATAACGGTAAGTCCCATATAATTCATTATTCATATGGTTTTTTAAAAAACGGGGTAATTTTTCTAATGAATCCGATATATGCACACGTCTATATATAAATATATTAGGGATGTGTCTCTTAATTTAGTTTCTTTTTTAAAAATGTCTCTTTAATTCATGAATATACAATTTTAATTTTATTTGATTATACGATCGATGAAATAATTAAAGACTATAAGGAGCATACGACCTTTTCATGCATATATAGGCTAACCAACCTCAATGCATAGAAGAATTTCGAGTATTATAGCCACATGAAGGCTGCCAATGTACAGGCAGGCATGCACATGCTCGTGCCCGGCGACTCCCCATTATTGTTTCCACCACCCAATAGAAATTAGAGTAATAATATTTCCCGCTTGCTACATATCCGCCGTTGGATGACATTCGGCCTTCTCATCCAACGGTAGATATTACGTGCTTTCCTCGGCTGACATGGCATGGATCTTTATTGTTTGAACAGTTGACACGTGGCGTGTCCAGCGATTGTTTCCTTAAAGGCTGAATCCGTTATGACGCTGTTCCCAATAATTATCTTTATCATGGTGAACGTGACTCGTATCCTACGGATTCCGTTTCTTTGACCGTCAACGCCTCCGCCACGTGGCGGAATATTCGCACTCTATGCGCCGCAGTGCCCAGTTTATATAAATATAATAATGTCCTCTCGACACAAAAAAAAAAATATATATTGTGGGCCTCAATCTAATAAAAGCCCAATTCACAGCTAATAATGGGTCACAAATGTATAAATATTTTGAACCATCAATAATCCACATGTCACATGAGCCCATTGAGCCCAAAATCTGTATAACGGACCTCGTGGACCCGGTCCGCCCCGGCCCATATAGCGTAAGGTGTTGTAACGTGTAACCTACGGTTTTAACTTTTAATTAACCATATGGGGTTTGGTTGCTGCCCGTTAGGAATTAGGACCGTCAAAATTAATAATGAACGCCAAGAAATTTTTGGTACGTAATGAGTGCACCGAAAGGTGTCCCACTCCAACTTTATCTTTAATTCTATCATTAATCTATTTCATTTTATAATCTCTTTCTAAGTATCTCTCTCTCTTTTTCCCCCTTTCTCCTATGATTATAAAACCCGTGATTTGTTTTGGTCCAGAATTTTAACACGTGAACATGTCTATTTTCAATGTTCGAGAATTTGTAGATAATTTTCTGGCAATCTATTAAGAGATTTCACTTCTGGCTAATAATGATTCATGCTGGGATATCATATATATATATACATATATATAATATTTGGTTTCTTTTTGCATTTTTGTCTTTTGACCTCTCGTGAGCATCATTACCTTTATCCCTACCTTTCTTTATAACGATTTCATATACAGTAAAAATCAAATAAAACCACACCACTGGTAATGATTAAGTCTAAAGAAAAGGTTATCAATTATTTATTCCTAAACAGGTCTCTATATCAATGTGGTCCATTAATAATATAAATTTTTTTTTATCGAAATATTAAGGGAAACGAATCGAAGGGATGGCATCTCCATTTCCTTTTTCACCAGGACAAGTGGGCCCATTCCATCCTGTATATTGTAAAGTTTCGTCTATTTAAAGAAAACTCTCCCTAATACCAAAACCTTCCCCTTCATCGCTTAATTAACCTTCCCTTTTAGGGTTTTCAAGATTCCATGCACATATATTCACTCTATAAATCATATCTCCACATAAATTCCTCATTATATATATTTAAAAAAGTTAACTATATATATATATATATATATCTGTCATCTGGTTAGGTGGGTCGAATATGGGGAATTGCGTAGGAGGGTCGAGAATATTATACACCGACAAAGAAGATGAAGTTTTGATAAGAGTGGTAACGCCCGACGGCGGAGTCATGGAGCTTCATCCTCCGATCACGGCGGAGTCCATAACCAACGAATTTTCCGGCCATGCCGTCTACCTCCGCCGGTCCTCTCCGCCGCTCCACCACCACGAGGAACTCCTCCCCGGCAACAACTACTCTCTCCTCCCTCTCTCCTCCGCCGATAGACCTCCGGCTATCCAAACGACGCCGTACAGGATGTCCAACGCCGGCAAAACTCCGGCGGCGACTGCGTGGAAGGTGAGGCTGGTCATATCTCCGGAGCAGTTGGCGGAGATTCTTGAGCACGACGCCAAGACGGAGGCGCTCATCGAGAGTGTACGGACGGTGGCGAAGTGCGCCGGCGGTTACGGCGGAGCTTACTCCGCGTCGGTGGCGGATTCCGACCAGTGGAGTGTTACGAGCAATAACAGGAAACGGCCTTCCAGGTAGATCTTTTCATACGGCAATTTCGTTTTCTCTCTCATTATCAGTAATTACCTGCCGGGTTTAGTCAGCGTCGTTACAATTTTAATCGCTTGGATTTATTTCACATCTGGTGCGGTACGTTATTATATATCCTTGGCGCTATGTGTACGTATAATTAGTAAAAATGATGCATAGCAGTGCATACGATGAATAATCCTACTTAGTTTCTTTATATTTCTTATACAGTTTTATAATGATGGAATTTAAATTTCGTATGTTACGTTGTATCTACCATCTATGGTTAGTTTCATCAAAGAATATTGGGCTTCGTGATTTTCAAAAAGGCCTTTGTGATTGGGCTTGTTAAGGCCCAAATATGTTACCTTCTTCTCCCTAGGCCTAATAATGCTATGTTATTCGAATGATTTATTAAATGGTAAATAAATATTTGTGGACCGATCCTATAACGATGTTTCCTAATTAAATTTATATCCTTTCTGACGGATTCAAAAACACTACTTTCCCCTTTCGTGGACACATAATAATAATAATAATAATAATAATAATAATAATAATAATAATAATAATAATAATAATAATAATAATAATAATAATAATAATAATAATAATAATAATAATAATAATAATAATAATAATAATAATAATAATAATAATAATAATAATAATAATAATAATAATAATAATAATAATAATAATAATAATAATAAAGACAAATGCACTCAAACATATGTAACAAAAACAACGAAGCCACATGTATTACACCAAAAAAAACGAAGCCACATGTATAAAAAATAACGTCTCCACATATGGTTTGTGTCATCTATATAGTTCGCACACGCAATTAATTAAATTAAGCTGAAACATTATCCCGGCTTTAAATTAATCAGTATTTAAATGTGTATAGATATGATATATTAATGCAAACTGTGAGTACGTATATATATATATATATATAAATAGAAAACTCTTCCACATATCAAAAGAGTAAGAGAGTGCAAAATGCTTACTTGTAGTCAGAGGGAAGTCCAAAGTGATGGCGGAGAGGGAAAATCCAATTTACGAATCGCATAATTATTGTTGGTATAGGCGCATTTAAAATAAAGATGGACACCTTGTATCGATAAAATGTTACCATCCGTTATTATCAACAAGTCGTCCGCGAAATTCATCTTTAAATTCGTGTATGTATATCCCCTGTATTATAGATTTCGTGGGAACATATAAAAAACGATATTACGATTGATGAATATATGGAACATAGGAAACAAAACTAAAATTAAATTCATGCAATTTGAAACTATAAAGGATATTTTACGTTTAACAAAAAAAAAAGAAACTATAAAGGATAACATGGTCTGTCTTTTTTTTTTTTAAACCAAAGACCAAAAAACAACATAGGTCGTGTAACGAGGAACACGTGCAAACAATATACCTTTAGGAATAGGTAGGGTTTTTGGTACGTATTATTTTCGATAATATAAGATGACAGATCATCCGTCCATTTCACATATTATTCCCATGATTTGCTCTGCGTATTGTTTCTTTAATTTATACTTTAGGGGCGGTCTCTCTTCAATTAGTGCACCAATAATTTACAAAATGTACAAAAACATACAAGAGCGCTTACATCACTAATTTGTATAATTATTTTTGTGTTAATGTCTTAGTGACATATTGAATGTTTGATTTTATGCCTTTTTATTTGTATTCCATGCACGACTGTTACTGTTTTTTTTTTAAATTGACATATGTCCCGACTTCGTCAAACCATTCTCATGGATTATCGAAGAAAACAACATCAATTAATATAAGCAATTATTTTGAAAATTATACAATTACGTTACGAGCTGTGATACCATAAATCTTTTTTTTTTTTTACGACAACTATTTTGTAACATGTTTGTTAGGGATTGGCGTTTTGGGATTCGATTCGAAATTTTAGTGGTTCGGTTCAGAAACGGTTTATTCGTTATTCTAAAATTTGTATCAAATTAGTACCGTATATTATTCGGTTCGGTTACAATTTCGGTATGGTTCAGTTTCGGTTCTTGTTAAAAAAAAATAGATTTTTACAGAAAATTTTGAATTTTAAGAATTTTATAAAGTTCGATTCGATTCAGTTCGATTTCGAAAAATTCAGTTTTCTTATAAATATACCATTTAGGAATTTTGAATGGTACAATTCGAAAAAATACCAAGATTTTTTGTTCGGTACGGTTCGATCCCGAGGTATATATAAGGATTATATACTGTCTCGGTCGGTGGTCCATATTGAACCATATGCTCTTCGATGGAGGTATATGTAACAAAAAATATTGGTATGTTTCACGTTCCAAATGCTGATATGATTAAATCAACCGATTTAATTAATAATGAGCTATTAATATTTTAATTAAACAGCTTTCAACAATGTATTTAAAGCAACTTATACCGGTTGGATAAGAAATTTATTTATTATACGATCACGCACGTACCTAAATTAATCAATTCGATCGTCTATAGTTTATTGATATTTTCTGTTGGTTTTGTACATTTTAACTTCATCAACTCTTTCATGGAAATATATCCTATATATTTTAAGGCAAGGGAAAGGGCAACAAAGTCAAAATTAAATAATGGACGTATCTTTGGAAGCAATTTAAGCCGCATCTAATCATATCAATTTAAATATATCGATACAAAATCTTAGGAGAAAACAATTAACATATATATATATATATATATGACTCAACTTGCTTATAAATGCATTATATATGTGGATGTAGCCAAATATATACGCATATCTATTATACTTAAGTACATCAAATGCAACACAAGTGACAAATGGCAACAGATAAAGTATACACACACAAAAGTAAAAATAAATAAAACTATGAAACTCTATATATGTTTTTTACGTACCAACCAAGCCCCATGCAAAGATACATACAAATGGTCGCTTTCTACTGGATTACTAGATCATTTCAACGGTTATTTAATAAGACTCAACTTGAAATTTTAATATGATTCTTATAAATTAGGCAATATATATCTTTCATATGCATAACGATCCTATACTTCATTAATTGTAAAGGCAATAACTCAAATCTTTTAAGATGTTCCGTACTACATACTTTTATTTCATTTTTACGCCTCGTGGGAACATATTATATATTGACTATTGTTAAAATGTGTATATCCTCAAAACAAAACAACGCAATATAGAAATGGTAGGGTTCTTTTCTCCTTGTTATCAGTGTAGTAGAAAAACTTGAGCGGATTTTTTTAGAAAAATTCAAAAAAATTATTTTATAGAAAATAATAACATAAAAATAAGTAAAATAATTTAAAAAATACATTGAAAATGTTTATAAAGCAATTGATGGGTGAAGACATTCAAAGATTATGCATTATGGAGGATAATAACAGTGAAAAATATCTATATTAGTATTTAACATCGATTTCTTAAAAATGTTATAAAATCTTCCAAAAGCCACAAGCAACATATAGATTGAATAAAGCCGGTCCAAACGGTTTATAATTGTATATATATTGCGCCAAAAAAGGAGAAGATAAATAACATACAAAAGTTGGGTGTCATGTCATTAATCAAACTATAATATAATGATTAGCAACATGGAATTTTGGAGACGCGACAAAATAATTTTGTGTTTAGAAATTGCAAAGAAAGGCATCCTAACTAAATTCGATCTTCCACTTACTGTTAATGGAGAAACCTACTGATATATTTTATCAAACTCTTTTCTGTATAATTTTATGAATTAAATTTTATATAACTATATATATATATATGTCATTTATATTTTGATAATTAAATACAAATATAAATACTTTTACGAATTTCAACATTGAAAACGAATGGATTAAATAAATTTTTAAATATAATAAAGGTTAATATAATAAGATATTTTAATCTTTTATTAAGATTTTATAATTTAAAGAATTAATTCTTTACATTTATACAATTTAAAAAAACTATTATTTAGACAATCGTAAGTTTAATGGTAAATTTTCTTTTTTAAAAAAGTACATATCCCTACGGACCCTTTGAACCACTCTGAGGACCTAGTTTTTTTTTCTTTTATAATTTTCGTGGTTTGTATTATTTCGTATACAGATTTATTTTATGTAATACTTTTTTAGATGCGTTTCACGTTTTAGAAAGTAGTTTGAACCCCAAAATATATAAGTTATAAACAACCTTGTACATTATTACATCTAACTTAATTCAGATTTTTAACAAATTGCATTCATAGATCAAATTAAGACAGCAGATAGCTTTATAATTTAAGTTCATACGTATCATGGTTGCAGACAAAAAATTCGGCTAATTCCATGACCTAATGGATAGGGGCTTATTGTATATCTTCTCCATTTGGTCTTTTGCTGGTTAATTGAGTTAAAGATCCTAATTAATTAATTAATTAAGATTCATACCAAAAAAAAAAGATCCTAATTAAGATTTGAGACGATATCTAGCATGTCCCAAAATGAAGTCGAAATAAAATTGTAAAAACACGATAAACAAAAACGGACAGTTTGGGAAACAACTCAAAAGTCAAATCGAGGCACCCAACGTAACCCTTTTATCGGATGGGACAGGAACGCACATCGCCCATCGAGTAAATCTCTTTTCACCCAGAAATATTCACATTTTACCGTTTTATTTCACCTAATTTTCCACTGTTTAGCTATAAAAATAAATACTCTATCAGTAAAAATATAACTATTTACCGTAATTAACCCTTCGTACAAGCTCGTTTAATAATGACCACCTTTTCTATTACAAGGTTATTTATTGCTTAGTAAAAACTTCATCTTCTAGAGTGAAAAAATTCAGAAATTAAAATCTCTCCTCACGTTCACCCAAATTCATGAATACCCTATCTTCCCTTTCATATATACGTAAAAGTTTGTGTCTATGTATATACTCGTAGTCGAATACAGATTATCCATGGTATATATAGCATATTTGATGTGTGTAACTGTGTTGTCAAGGTACCGCATATACTTCTAATTGCATGTATTGATGATAACTATAATAATTAATGGTTAAGATATATGTCTATATTTTCCGTACACATGTGTGTAGGGTTGTATACATGTAACATATTTTATATGTTTATGTTATGCATGCGTGTGTGTGTGTATATATAATTATATGATGAGTTGAGATAGGAGAGAGAGAGATGGATGACTGACGGGTGGGTTGTTAATTTGTTCAAAGGGTACTTTTCTTTTAGAGATTTTAAGGTCGAAGGTCATCGTTACGATGTGGGCTTGCTTCCTACAATCTAGTTGCCCAGTGGGGCCTACCTTTGCCTGACATTGGCCCCACCTCTCTTTTTTAATTTATTTTCGCGCTTTATTTGCTTTGTTATTTTCTGAAAGAAAAATTTTATATATATATATATATATACACACATAATACTCCAATCCAATGAATCACACCCACCACAATTAATTCATGGCTCGATAAACACACTCCACAGCAAGTAATAATTTTATATTAGTTTCACATAAAATCAATATAATACCTAGTTATTTGGGGAAATGATGGAAAATTAATATCATATATATATATATATGATGCAATTTTCAGTACACTAAATCTACATGTTTTACCACGAAAACAATCTCCATACAAATATATTTCAAAACAGTATATGTGTGTATGTATATACATACACACATACCTCGATGATGAATTTATACATGCATTGGACTGGGCAAGGGCAAGTCAAAACGACACTAAGCTCATGATTTGAGTATGGCAACAAAAAACAAAAAATAAATAAATAATAGGTATTTTATAAACGCACGCACCAATAAAGAAAATAGATGGGGAAAGGGAAATAGTAAGAAAATAAAAGCGAGCGAGGAAGGGAGAGACGTTTTCCTCATGCATATATATATATATATATATATATATATATATTGGGCCTAAGAACACGTATATATAAACTCACTCTCTGCTACTCATTTTATTCTTACAACCCATCATCCAGTTGGGTAGTTACTATACTTTCCTCTCTTCTTCTTCATCGCCGTACGTCGTCTGTCTAAATCTCTCCCTTCGGAAACTATGAACATATCTGTAAACGGACAGTCGCAGGTTCCTCCTGGGTTCAGATTCCATCCGACCGAAGAAGAGCTCTTGCAGTATTACCTCAGGAAGAAGGTTTCCAACATCGAGATCGATCTCGATGTCATCCGCGACGTTGATCTCAACAAGCTCGAGCCCTGGGATATTCAAGGTTCCTTTTTCCCCCTCTTTTTTTTTTAATCTAATTACCAAATTCATGCTTCTTTCACGATGTTTTTACCTTCTATTTTGCCATAAATTCGGTATATAAAAAAAACGCAATGATCTTGGCTGATTCCTCGTACGTGCATGCTTCGCTCAAGAATTATATAGTATATGTATACGTACGTATATGTTTAAAGTACAAGGCAATTGAATTCTGATCTCACGACAATGGAGAAAGAGAAGACAGAATCAAATTCGTCATTGTAATTATTAGGAGATATATAGTAGAGATAGAAGGGCAGGTTTATTATTCCTTTCTCTGAATCACATAACTCTCTATAATGAAAATAATTCAAGAAGGTTAAGGCCTTGCATGAATATAATCTGGTTATAACTCATTAATATTGTTAAGTGGATACATATGCAGAGAGCTGTAAAATAGGGACGACCCCTCAGAACGACTGGTACTTCTTCAGCCACAAGGACAAGAAATATCCGACGGGGACGAGGACGAACCGAGCCACGGCCGCCGGCTTCTGGAAAGCCACCGGCCGAGACAAGAACATTTGCAGCAACGGACGAAGAATCGGGATGAGGAAGACTCTTGTTTTCTACAAAGGACGAGCCCCTCACGGCCAGAAATCCGATTGGATCATGCACGAATACCGTCTCCACGACAATTCTTCCCCTACCGACCCCACCGTAAGTCATGCTTTCTTCACCTATATATATGTATATATACTGGCGTTTGCATTTATTTGATTCGATTACATATATTGTCTACCGTGGTTCTATGTATATATACATGTGGTATATTTGTTGGTATGCTTCATCTTACGTGACATCATTCTTGAAATGACTTGTTTTGGGATTTATTTCACACTTTAATAAATGACTAGACTTTAGGTGTTGATCTCTCATCTTGGGTGATCTAGACTTCGTGTAATTTTCAGTATCATGTGTCATTGACCCTTGCATATATATACAAGACGTTGGTGAAAGCTATACTAGCACCTAATCACACTGTTCAAAAAAACTCGTATGAAACACATTCCACCATTCATATATACATATATATATATATATATGTGTGTGTGTGTGTGTGTGTTTTTACTGTTTTAATTGCTGCTGTCGTTGGACGCTGTCTTAATGACGTCGCACATGAAAGTGAGTTGTATCCGTAGGTATATACATTCAAATATAATATGCATGCATGATCCTTATTTTTTAACCACATGCGGTAACTATACGTATGTACATGTGTATTTTGTGAGATTACCTTTATATCTTAGTATCTATATATATATATATATGAATCAAAATAAAACAAAGAAACTGATTATTTGCGGTTGATATGTTTCTGTAACCAGGTTGCGAGTATTATAGGGGAAGCATCGCAGGAAGAAGGATGGGTGGTTTGTCGTATTTTCAAGAAGAAGAATCTCCACAAAACCCTTAACAGCCCCGCCAAATCTTGCCTTAACGGCGGCGATGCGGCTGCGAGGACGACACCGTCGCAGATGTTCAACGAAGAGACCATCGAGCAATTTCTCGAAATCATGGGGCGATCTTGTAAAGAAGAACTAAATATAGACCCTTCTATGAAACTCCCCAACCTCGACAGCCCTAGTAGCAACGTCACCACCAGTTACCAGCGTTTGATGGAAGACCGTGACGGACCAATCAGCAACTGCCACGTCGGGGCCATTGACACCAGCTTCGTCACCAGCTGGGCTGCCTTGGACCGGCTCCCCG